GGCGAAGGGCTGGTGGGGGGCATATGAGAGCAGGTGGAGCAGAAGCGAAGGTTAGTTGAGAGACCCCCCGGGACCTCGTGGATAGATGGCCATTCGCGCTGTCGCCTCCGAGGCCCCAGCAAGCGCCGGCGGTTAAGGCCATCGCCAAGGAGGCGCATGAGAGAGCTCTATCCACTTGCAGTTTGGAAGTAAGTGGTCCCACCCAGTTGGCCGCACCGTGTAGTTCCTATTCAAAGCAGTCATCTCGTGTTCGCCGGATGAAGTAGCATGTGTGGGGACCCACTGGCATAGCGTTGGCCGTGGTAAGCGGTAACATGTGGCCTGTGGGTGGGAACGCCTCGGCGGCTTTTGAAGCCCTGTGCGACCGCGGACCCACTTCATAGCGTAGTGTTTTGTACGTGTAGCCGCCGTCGTGGGTGCTACGAATTGCCAGAACATCCACTGTGGGCGAGCAAGCCACGGCTGGTTTTAGAGCCCTGTATTACCGCGGGTCCACTATATTCGCGCCCTCGAGGTGCCGCCGTGTGCTAAGGTGGAGTGCTGCTGTCGGTGGAACATGGGGTAGGAGTAGTGTCGTGCGCGGTGTAACAGCGTAGTCCAACTGCTGCTGCAGTCGCAACAGTGATTGCGGAGTTTGGGCGCCCACGAGAGTTCCATGAGCGTTCCCAGGCGCTCCCCGACACTTCCAGACGCTCCCAGCCCAGACGCCCCCCAGGAGTTCCCAGACGCTCCAGGAGCGCCCGAGCGCCCCCAAAAGAGCTCCCCCCCCCGTTCCTCACGCGCTCCGGCGGCACTGAGAGCTCCCAGACGCCCTCGGGCGCCCCACGCGCTCCGGGGGTCGCCCGAGCACTCCCCGGGCGGCTCCAGGTAGTGTCGGGGAGCTCCAAGACACGTCAGGAAGTCTGAGGAAGCCTCGCGGAGCTCTCGGAACCCCCAGGGAGCTCCAGGCACTGGCCACACGACGCCTCAGGACGCCGCAGGAAGGACCCTGGAGACACCCAGGAAATGTGCAAGTTTCCCCAAGAAGTGCGCAAGCAGCCTCAGGAAACCACAGGGCCCCCAGGAAGCCCCAGGAGTTCAGGTAGCCATCGGAAGATTCGGGAAGCTTCAGGAGCCCCAAGGAGGCCCGAAAACGCCATGGGGGGCGCAGAGTATGCCTGACGGACCTCGTGGAAGCCGTTCAATGTTTTACCACGCTGAACCCCTCGCACACTCACATTCACACATTCACACATTCACACATTCACACATTCACACATTCACACACAAACGCATCTACACACACACACGCGCGCACGCACACGTTCACGCGCACGCGCGCACGCACGCACGCACGCACGCACAATACAACACAACACAACACAACACAACACAACACAACACAACACGACACAGCAAAACACAACACAACACAACACAACACAACACAACACAACACAACACAACACAACACACACACACGAACACACACACACGCACACATACACATACACATACACACACGCGCACGCACGCACGCACGCACGCACGCACGCACGCACGCACGCACGCACGCACGCACGCACGCACGCACGCACACGCACACACACACACACACACATACACACACATACATACACACACACTCACACAGAAACGCGCACACCACAGTGGTCGCGTAGCGATGCGCCAGCAGATGCGGCGCGTTTGCGGCGCATCCGCAGAGACATCCACGCGCGCGTGTCCAGTGGCGCAGCGAGGCGCCATCACCCTCGCAGATCGAAACCCTGGCGCCGAAACATCATTCCGTGATCGCCACCGATGCGTCGCGCGGGCCCTCTCCCGCGCGCCCGAGCGCTGCCAACTCGCGCAGAGAAGCTGTTCGTCGCCGCGCGCCGACCCCAACGCGGGAACTTGCGTTCCGAGGCCACCACCGATGCGGCTCGCGAGCACCCTCCCGCGCGCGCGAGTGCTACCCAGTCGCTCGAGGAAGCTGCTTGGCGCCGTGCCCCGACCCCCACTCGAAAATCGCGTGCTGAGACCGCCGGCGACGCGGCGCTGCAATATCGACGCGCGAAAGTCCGACTCGGCGATCGGGTCCTCGCCCGCGCGATCGAAGGCTGCCCAGTCGCAGTCTGCCTGGCGCTGCGCGCCGACCCCAACGCGAGCACTTGCGTTCCGGGTCGTTGATGCGACCCGCGAGTCCCTGCTTGCGCGCACGGAGAGTTACCCAGTCGAGCGAGGAGGCTGCTTGGCGCGTCGCGTTGACCTCCGCGCGGAAAATAGCGCGCCGAGGCGCCGCCGATGGGACGCGCGAGTCGAGAAAGGCCGTCACTTTCTCACGCAGACCCCCCGCCCACCCCCCGCGCGGTGGTCGCGTTGCGATGCGCCATGTGCGGCGTCGATCGCCTTTCGTCGTTCGTCGATTCGTCGTCCTGGTCACCGTTCGTTGTCCATCGTTCGTCGTTCGTCGTCGTCGTCGTCGACGTCGTTCGTCGTTCGTCTGTCTCCGCGCGTTTGTAATCGTTCGTCGTTGGTCGTCCGCCACCGTCGTCGTTCGCCGGTAGTCGCCAAGTGAGAAACCCGCTGGGAGTGCGACGCATGTCACCTTCAGTATTTCAAAGGTGGCGGCGGAATCGCGAACGCGCACCAACGCACCCCACCCCCAGCGATCCTGTTGAAGGGGGTGGGATGCGAGAGCGCACTTATCGTAAGCACTCTCTCTCTCGCTCTCGATCCTTCTCGCAAATTATGTCTCTCTGTCTCTCTCTCCCTCTCTCTTTCTCTCTCTTCCTCTCTTTCTTTCTTCCGTTCCCTGTTGAACATGTTTGCCCCCTCCTCTCGTCCCACTCCTGTTCCAATATCATCCCCCTCCTCGTCCTCCTCCTGCCCCTCCTCCTCCTGCTCCTCCTCCTCCTCCTCCTTGTCTTTCATTTTCCTCACTCCTCCTCACTCCCCCTAACTCTCCTATATGCCTGTCTGTCCCAGCCCCCCCCCCTTTCTTTGATGGTGAGGGCGAGGAAGATGGCAACGGCCGGAGCCAGAGGCTCAAAGGCGAAGAGCCAGATGCTCAGATGGGGGGAGCCACAGGCTCAAACGGCGGAGGACCAGAGGCTGTTGTGTGTGCGTGTGTGTGTGTGTATGTGTGCGTGTGTGTGTGTGTGTGTGTGTGTGCGTGTGTGTGTTTGCGTGTGTGTGTGTTTGCGTGTGTGTGTGTGTGTGTTTGTGTGTGTGTGTGTTTGTGCTTGTGTGTTGTGTGTGTGGTGTGTGTGGGGCGTATCGCAAGGCGGGCCCGATCTTGGCAGATCGGGCCTTACGATTTTAGGTGTTTGACGACGGCGCGGCCGAGTACCAATCCGTTCCCCCGAAAAGCCGCGCTGCTTACCGCGACAAGGGGAAGGGCCCTCCTCGCTTCAATGCAGACAGCGTCAATGCTTACTATGAGAATTTGAAACCGTCGCAGTACATCGTGTGCCGTGGTGCAGATCAGCAGGCCGTCGCGGACCGCGCGCTCATCGTGCGCCCGAACGGGCGCACCGAGACAACGTGTTCAGAAAAGGGCACTCAGTGTTGCGACAGCCTGCGGCCTGATATGCGCAACGACACTTCAGACAACGCTCATACTTCCGACTGGGAGCGTTGACGCACGCGCGTGAGTCTGGGCGTGGAACATGCGGGGGTCAGGCACCGACCTGCTTCCAAGAAATTGGCAGAACCGTCCGCACAACTCCAGATGGCCCGCATTAAATAATTCTGTCAGGAGTGCATGAAGGGGCCCAGGTACACGCACATAGATAGACACAAATCCCAGGACCCCCCGTCGTCTCACAGATTGTCTTGACCTTCGTCTTCTCCCCCACTTCCCATATTTCCAGGATGTCCTTGGGAATCGACGATCCTTTGTGTGTCTGTGTGTTTTCCCCCTCCTGGGTGCAGCCAGCCGGCGTGCAGAGGGCTCGGGCTGCGGCCGCCACCGCCCGCAGTTCGGGCGCTCTCTTGCCCCCTCGGGGGAAAAAAAACCGTGAACACCGCCCAGGCCGACCTTGCCTTCCAAGGCAGGCGGGCGCCCCCCTTGCCCAGGAGCCCTCGCGCGCTTCCCAAGAGGGCGCCCACTCCGCCTTGTTCGAGAGTGATCAGCACCGAAACCAGCTGCACACCTGCACCGGCCCTGGCCAGGCCCACCCTGGGACCAGGCTCGGCTGCTACGCCCTCCTGGCGTGGCCAGCGCGGCACGCGCACCAATCCCGAGCACAGGATCGGGCCGGCCAGGCGAATGTTTTCTTATCCGGCGTTTCGACATCGGCCGGGAGGGGAGGTGAAGGTGGAGAGGGGCGGACCTCTGCTTGATGCGACAGCTTGCAGCAGTGCGTCCTAGGTCCTGGGGGGGAGACTCCACCTGCTTGAAACCGGCGCCCAAAACAGCCAAGATCTACTCCATGGGGGGGGAGGGGGTTGCGAGGGCCCGCGCCGATCGGCAAAACAATGAATCAGAAATCTTTCACTTTCAGGCAGGCGGGGCGCCCTCTTGCCCAGGACCCCCCCGCGCACTCTGGGTGCGCCAGATGGCGAACGAGCTTGCGGACGGCCCGTTTAAGCTGGCAGCCCTGGGCTATGTACTCTTGGATATTCTGGGACAGACGCGGGGGAGTCTCGATGAGAAGGGCATACGGTGGCTGGGCGGCTCTGGCATAAGGAAGACGCAGACTGCGACCACCGTCGCGAAAGCTCGCTCCCGCCAGCTCATAGGGCAGCCTTTGCGCAGGGCGGTTCCAGGACTGGAGTTCATTCACCAGGCGTGCCCAGAAACGTTGTGGATGCCATGACAATGGACACCCTAACAACCCGATCATTGAATCAAAGATGTATCTAACGTGCGTTGAAACATGTTCTAAACATGTGTTGAACATGGTCTTCACATGTTTAATACATTTGTATGTAAACATCTGGGAGCAATCTGGCACCATGCTTCGTCTCCATAGATTGTCCTCAACAACGGTAACGACATTGATCTTCGATGATTTTCACAATAGCAGAATCCCGTCGGGGCCCCCCAAGGTCTTGCAGAGGGCGCGGGCTGCGGCTGCGGCCGCCAGTGCGCAGGTTGGGCTGCAAACGTCAAAATCGCCCAGACCTGCATCGGGCCTGGTGCGGGAGGCGGAGGTGGAGGAGGAGGAGGAGGAGGAGGACGAGGAGGAGGAGGACAGAAGAAGAAACAACGGCATGAACAGAAGCTTTCGACGGTCCGCGCGGATGTTTTGGATCTGCGCTGGACCCCCCTCCCTGGCGCGCGGAGCGCGCCAGGGGCGGCGCCGGAGGCGCCGCCAGGGGTGCCCAGCCCGCGGATCCAAGAAATCCGCGCGGAGCGCCAAAAGTTTATGTTTATGCCGTTCTTCTTTCGACTATACGCAAGTGTGACCCTGGGTAAGAGTGACCTTTGGTGCGCGGCTTTTTGGGGAACGCGGGGGACCAAGCACAAGCGCGCAAGACGCTACTATCGCATCGCGTTTGGCGACCAGGGGAACCCATTGGGCCCGCACCAAAGGTCACTCCGGCGAAAGGTCACTCTTACGTCTAGTCAATCTTCTTTGGGAGGAGGAGGGGGAGGAGGAGGAAGATGATGATGATGATGATGATGATGAGGAGGAGGAGGAGGAGGAGGAGGAGGAGCCCCCCTGCCCCAGCTCCGCGGCACCCGGCCTTCGGACCACTCGCTCCAGAGGCCCGCGGCCGGATCGCCCACGCGAACCGCGAAGCGCAGCGGCTTGCTGCCGGCCTGCGTAGCGAGGGCCGCGGCGTCCAGCCCGGCCTGCGCTGTTTGGGGGAGGAATACAATCAACCCGTATTAGAAAGGATGCGCGGTAAGGACGCAAGGGCCCTGGAGGGCCATGTGAACGTTTATCGTTGTTTGAGCGAGGCTGGCTAGCGAAAGTTACTGAAGATGGGCCGAAGGGGCAAGGATGCAAGGGTACCCTTGGAAAAGTTGCCCATCATTACTATGCGGGTTGACTATACGACGAAGCCAAGATCGGGGCAAAATCGAATCGGGATAAACCGGGAGACTCTCTGAGAGCCGAGGGATCTGGAGAGTGTATCGGGCGCCGCGGTCGTTCCAGAGCGCTCCAGAACGCTCTCAGTGCGTGCCAGAAGAGCTTGTGTTTTTGTTTTACTCCTGCAATTTTACTTGCATGGACGGGGAGGGGGTGGCCTGAACCTGAAGCAAGCCGCAGACGACTGGCACGTGCAGACATCACGCAGGTCGAACGGCACTTGCACGCCAGTATTCGTCAGAAGAGGGGCGAGGGAGGGGCAGGGAGGGGGGGGGGGGGGGGGGCGAACGCCAAGCGAGCAAACTCGCCCGAGCCTAGCTTGAACGCTCGGGAGCGACGTATGCCGATCCTGGGCCTGGCTGGAGGACGGCGGGGGCGCGGCGCGTGCCCCGTCGCAGCTCGATGCCGACCGCGCGAGCGCGACCCGAGGCTTCGCGCGGAGCTCTGGCGACTCACGACAACGATCACAACGATCACAACGATCACAACGATCGCAACGACCACAACGATCACAACGATCACAACAGTCGTTGCGATCACAATGATCACAACGATCGCAACGATCACAACGATCACAACGATCAATGCTTTTCTCCTGCTGTACCCGAGGCTTCGCCTGGAGTTCGGGCGACTCGGCCCTTGGGCCACACCAGGGGATGCCTTCGGCCTGCTGGGCTGCTGGGCCCTTTGCCAGGCCAGGCAGAGCCCGACCGATGCTTTCGCTGAGGGGCAGCGATAGGGGGGGACTGGCACAGGAGGGGCATACATCGGCCTGGAATCGGCGATACATCGCCGATGCATCGGCGATAGGCCTCCGGTCGTGAATCCACACCTTCCTGGGCAGGTCGGGGCTATCGGGCCCCTATCGGCGATCAATGGGCGATGAGGGGTCGATGCTCCCCCCCTATGCCCATCCCCCCCTATCGTTGCTCTGGATTGCCCGCGTTGCAGGAATGAACGCTAACGTGCGACATCGTGTGGGGACATGGCCGTAGCAGTCGCAGCAGCAAGCGGACCGACGCCGATAAGGGGGCCAAAAGGGGAGGCAGAGGAGAAGCGGCGCGGGTGCTCCTCCGCCACTGCAGAGTGCTGCATAGTCCCGCGGTACTCCTTGACCTCCTCAGGGAGGGCGCCAACCCTTGTTTGAGAGTGGTCAGCACCACGACCAACTGTACACCTGCACCGATCCTGGCCAGGCCCACCCCCCCGTGACCAGGCTCGGCTGCTACGCCCTCCTAGCCTGGCCAACGAGGCATGCACACCGATCCCAAGCCCAGGATCGGGCAGGCCAGGTGAACATTTTCTTATCCGGCGTTTCGACATTGGGCGGAAGGGGGGGGGGTCTGGTTTCGGACGGGACCTCTGCTGAATGCGACTGATTGCAACAGTGTGTCCTGTGGGGAGACTCCACCTGCTCGAAACGGGCGCCCCAAACAGCCAAGATCTGCTCCATGGGGGGGGGGGCAGGGGGGGGGAGAGGGCCCGCGCCGATCGGCAAAGCAATGAATGAGAAAACGATCACCAAGATCTGCGAGGTGGACTGCTTCACGAGGGACGAACACCTCCGTACTCTCGCGGTCTGCGTACCCACGGGCGTAATCCCATTGGACACGCGGCCCCATGGACACGTTTTGCGCGGGGGGGGCGCGCAGAGCCGCCCTGTCATTCTCCATCGCGAAATTGAGACAAACAAAAAAACTTGCCATCGCTCGGACGTCCATTTCCCGTGTGCTTTTCGATGTCGCGTGCGTATTTCTCGAAACGGGATCCAAGATGCCCCTCAATGGTCCTCACCGAATGGAACATGCACACGCGCAAGCGATGCCAAGACAATCACCGTGTTGGGAGAAAGGGGCTGGGAGAATGCAGGGTTTGAGAAAAAAACATCAGGATGAAATGAACGATGCCCTCGGCCGCCTGCGTCTGGCGAGGGGGGAAGCGTGTCGTCACCGCAGCGCACGGGCCGCCCATCTCACACCGCGCAAGCTTCAGTAAGCGAGATTTGCAACATGCAGCCTACTTCGTGGCCCTCTCGGGGCCGTCTTAGACCCCGGGGAACTTCCCAAGACGCAGATTGCACCCTGCAGCCTACTTTGTGGCCCTCTCGGGGCCCCTTTGGAGCCTTGCCAAGGCCTTCGGTGGGGCCGTCCAAGATCCCTCTTGCGAGTGCTCTGGTCCCTCTCGGAGCCATCGTGTACCACCTCAGATGTTGAAGCGACGCGGCGAACACTGGAGATGGACCAAGGGCATGCGCAATGCCAGGGGGTCTGGCCATTGCCCAGTGAAAGTGAATTCCGCGTCGGGCTAGATCCGTTGCTGATACGGAATTCACATCTGAATTTATTCTCGTGCTCGTACAAATTCTGGGAGGTCGCGGGACCGCAACAAGTTCTTTATTGTGTTCCATTCTTGATACGGAAATTACACATGCATTCCGTATTTCGTCTCGTTCGCGATGCGAAAAAAACACTACTGCGTTGGTTCGCTTCCGTCCTTCATGGGTTGCGCGATGATTTTTGCATGAGTCATTGGCACCGGCGGTGCAGCATCACTGCCGATCGGACCCCTCAGGTAATGCCGAATGCCAAACTATACACGCCCAGCCAGTGATGCGCAGAGCAGGGTTCTTCAGGAGTCAGGAGGAGTTGCTGACGATGAAGGAGAAACGCGTGAATGCGGTGAGCGGGAACGTCGTTTCAAGCGATATGGAAATGAAGGACGAACCCAAGTTCAAGCAAAAGTTCCAGCGCAATCGGCAGGCAACTCAAGCTGCAGGGGGGTTGGAGGATGCGACGGCCAATGGCAGTGCACAGGCCACTCCAATAAGTACCTTCAACATACGCGATAATACAGATTGTATGATCATTTCTCCCAGCCCCATCCTCCCAACCCAATACTTGTCTTTCTGAGGAATCAACATGGAGATAGCTCACGCGCGTGCCGCTCGCATCACGAGCCAAGTGAAAAGAGATCACGATGCAGCGATGCAGACCGCAACCCTAATCGAGAAGTGTGAAGGCCGATGCTGCACACGAGGGCTTTACATGATGCCAGAACGCCAAAAACAAAACGGCACCAGACATGAGGGGAAGGAGGATGAGGAGGAAGAGGACGAGGAGCGAGGACCGCGGGGCCGTAGACGAAGCCATGTTTTACCGCCATGTTTCCCGCCCGTAGACGAAGCCATGGTCGGACCATAGGGGGAGATTTAGTAAAGGGGGTAGAATTAGCAAAGCAGCTCATGCAACGGGTCCTCCCGGCACCTCCTGGCGCCGGAGGCGCCCGTGCATCGAGGCAAGTGCCCAGCGGCGGGACCGCAAACAGTTGCACGCAGCAGATTGCGTAACTACCCGAGATGCGGTACGGACGCGGCCTCAAGAACCCCCCGCCAGAAACCCAACCCTGGAAACCCGCGCGCGAGGTGCAACTGGAGGAGGGAAACCCCAGGCAGCTCTGAATGCAGTGCGTAGCCTCTTGATGCCCGCGGGGGGGGCCAGCACGCAGCGCGCGCTTCGAAGAAGCCCAGGGCACACCCAGACGAAACACACACCATCATCATCATCATCATCATCATCATCATCATCATCATCATCATCATCATCATCAGCAGCAGCAGCAGCAGCAGCAGCAGCATCAGCATCAGCATCAGCATCAGCAGCATCATCATTATCATCATCAGCATCATCATCAGCATCATCATCATCAGTATCATCATCATTATCAGCATCATCAGCATCATCAGCATAATCATCATCATCGTCATGACCATCACTATCATCATTATCACCATCATCATCAGCATCATCATCGTCATCATCAGCGTCGTCATCATCAACATCCTCATCATCATAATCATCATAATCATCATAATCATGATCATCCTCATCTTCATCCTCGTCCTCATCCTCCTCATCATCACCACCTTCATCGTCATCACCATCATCAACATCATCGTCATCGTCATCATCACCGACATCGCCATCATCAGCAGCACCATCATCATAATCATCATCAGCATCATCAGCAGCATCATCATCATCGTCACCGTCATCGTCATCATCACCATTATCATCATCAACATCAGCATCATCAGCATCATCATCATCATCATCATCATCGTCGTCATCGCCATCGCCATCAGCATGAGCATCATCTGCATAATCAGTCTCATCCTCGTCATCATCATAAACACCATCATCGGCATCAACATCACCATCATCATCACCACCAACGTCGTCATCATCAACAACATCATCCCCGTCGTCACAAACATCAGCCTCATCCTCATCAGCGGCAGCATCATCATCATTCTCCCTTGGTGCGCGCCCCCGCTGCATGCAGCCGACCCCCCCCCCCCGGGTCCTCGTCGAGCGAGAAGCCGGCCCCGCCCTCCTCGCCGCCCTCCTCGCCCGCGGCGCGCCTTGCGAGCACGGCGGGCGGCAGCTCCCACATGGGGCCCGTCTGCGGGAAGCAGCGGAGCTGGTAGCACAGCATGGGGGGCACGGCGAGCCCCGGCGGCTCGACGCTGAAGCTCCAGCGCAGCCGCAGACCCAGGCCGCCCGGCTGGGGGACCAGGTCGCGCACCTGGAGGGCCACGAGAAGCGCGGCAGGGACTGCTGCTGTGGCCAGCAGGTGCACCTGTCGATCGACTTGCAAACGCGCACTCTTCGATCAAGCGGTAAACGCATTGCATCGTCATGGAACGTCTGTTGCGCACGCTGTACACATTCAGGCTCTGTAGCGCTTACAGCGCCCCAGGCTCACTGTGCTGTCCACACAGTGCCGGTCGGTGGTTCTGGCCAGGCAGCGCATTCGAGAGCATTGGCAGCCAGGCAGAGCATTGGAGAGCACGGCCGTTGGCAGAGCATTGGAAAGCATTGGCATTGGAGAGCGAGAAGCGCGGCAGGGTCGTGCCGTGACGACTTCGGCGTCGGCCTCAGACACCGCGAGGATCGCTGAACCCTCGAACGATGGGCGCCTTGCGGAAGCGCAGATCGTTCGGTGTCGGCCGGTTCCAGGCCACTGGCGGCGTTCAATCTTAAACTCCCGCGCTGGGGTCGCCGCCAGGTCGACGCGGCGCGAGCCTACAGTGCACATGCAGGGAAGGCACCGGTGCTGCCAGCAGGGCTCATTACACCATCCCGGGATCCAAGCTGGACCAGACGGGCCCTGGCCAGGCACGGTGATTGTGTTCAGGATCCCCGTGTCTGCAGGATGCACAAAAAACTAAACTTGGGAGGTTCGCGCGGAGTTTTCGCGTCGGCGCTGGGACCCCGTCCACACACCCCTTCTCGGGGCGTCTGAGAGAGAAGCGTCCAATAGGGGTGTTCGCAAATCATGGCCCGAGACATGTGCGCGGCTCAAGTGGGGCCAGAGGACGCACTGAAGTGAGAAGAAGAGGCCATGAAATCTGGAGAGATACCATGTCCCCGGCTATGATATCGACACCCCCTCTCGTCATCACCCCCCCTCTTGGCCACTCCCGACCTTCCCCAGGGCACGAAGCGCGCCCAGGGCGGCGCCAAAGACGGAGCCCAGAGGTGCGGGAAGGGGTGGCCTCCAGAATCGAACAGCTAAACATGTCCACCTCCTGCCTCCTCGTCGTGTGAGGGAGGGAAAGATCAGAGAGCCGACCCCACCCGAGATCCGTAGGATAAAGACGATGAAGGTCTCTCCTCTTACGGGGAGAGCAACTCATGACCATGTGAATGCCAACACCTGGGCCGATAGGCCAGCGGATAAGAAGAAGAGGGAAGTAAGACAGAGAGAGAGAGAGAGAAAAACAAAAATACACGCACACACAAACCCTCTCCCTTCCTCCGAAGATTTGTAATCCTCCTTGCTGGGAAAGAGTGGGGGGGAAGGGGGAGGAATGAGGTGAATCTGTGTAGCCATCCTCCTCCGAGGTCCTGCGCCGACCCGGGAAATCCACGCAAAACGTCAACACACTGGTTCTGTATGGTGCCTCCTTGTCGGCTTCTCGGCAGATGCGGCCCTGGGCAATAGCTGCGCTTGAAGCGCGGCTCTCGCGTGGCGGGGGGGGGGGGGCACGATCACATCGCGCTGGGCGATGGCGTGCAATCGCCCAACGCGAACGCGGCATCGCCATCGCATCGAGACCCGTGGGGAGGGGCGCGCCCTGGCGCGGGCTGCCATCCAGCCGTCGCGATCGGAATCGCCACCGCAGCGGGGGGGGGGCGGGGGCGCAGAGCGCGCGAGGGGAGGGACTCACGCCCAAGCGCGCCAAGCCGCCGCCGTCGCCTCGCGCGCTCGCTCGGCGGCTGGGGGGCCCCCGGCGGGCCCCCGCAGCAGCGGCGGGCCTCGGGGACCCGGAACCCGAAAACGCTGTCCTCTCTTGAAGGCGCCTCGCGCTCGCTCGATGGCTGGGGGGCCCCCGGCGGGCCCCCGCAGCAGCGGCGGGCTTCGGGGACCCGGAACCCACAAACGCTGCCCTCTCTCTTGAAGGCACATCCTCTGCTTCCGCCGCCGCCCGCCGCCCTTCCGCCGCCGTCTGCCGGCGGAGGCGGCCTCGTTCTGCTGCCGCCGCCTCCCGCCGACCTTCCGCCGCTCTCCCCCGTGGAAGCGGTGGCGACTCCGTCGGTCCTCGAAGGCCGGGCCCTGTTGTTGGAACGCCGCAGGGCGAAGCTCCTCTTGTGTGCGCAGTAATTCCTCTTGCGTGCGCGGCCAGGGCGCCGGAAGGAGGGCCGCTCTGGCTTCCGGAGGGGGCCACTCATGGCCCTGGGGCCGCTCCGTGGATCCAGGTCGGGGCCCCCTGCTCGTGGCCGAGCCTCGCGGCGACCAGAAGAGCCCCTTCGCCGCCCGTCTGGCATCCGTCATGTCGGATGACAGGGCGCCTGCTCGAGGACTCGGCTGCGAAGCCCTCCTCCTCCTCCTCCTCCTCCTCCTCCTCCTCCTCCTCCTCCTCCTCCTCCTCCTCGATCCTCGATCCTCGATCCTCGATCCTCGATCCTCGATCCTCGATCCTCGATCCTCGATCCTCGATCCTCGATCCTCCTCCTCCTCCTCCTCCTCCTCGGAGCGACGATCAAAAACGGGTCTGACGCGAGATGGCACGGAGACCTTACGCGGTGGCTTACGCGGGCCGCCAGCGCGGCACGCTGCATTGCAGACTGGGGCGCTTACCCGCGAGCTCACGTGGGCAGCTTACGCGCCAATGTCGGCGCAGACGACTCTGTTCTTTTGCGTCGTTCACATGGGAGAACGATGAACAACTACGGCAGGTTCGTGTCGTGCCGACTCAAGCGCTGGTCTCTGACGCCGAGGGGCTCGTTCAACCGTGAACGATCGGCCATTCCCGAAACGTCAGATCGTTCAACATCGACCGATTCTGGGTCGCCAGCGGCGTTCAACATTGAACGCCGGCGGCGGGGTCGCCGCTGGTCGACACGACGCGAACCTACCCTAAGCCTTCTGCCGATCAAAATATGTTGGAGAGGTCAAACAGTATCTATGACGATGAGACGACGCCCGCGAGCAGGCTTTGAACCCGATTGATCCATCATCGCCCAGGACGCCGCTGCGTGACCGCGCCCCCACCCCGAGCTTTCGGGATCGCCATCCCGCGCCGCGTGCAACGCGATGACTGTAACCGACTTGGGCTCCCGAGCGCCAGGATCCCCCCGGGCGTGACGGTGAACCGCGCGGCGCTGAACGAGACGGCGCCCTTCGCCTCCACGCGGGCCACGGCGCGTTCGAAGAGGGCGGAGCAGGCGCCGCTGCCGGGCGCCTCTGCGGCAGGCGGCGCCCCTGGCACCACCACCGTGCCTGGCCAGGGCCATCCCGAGACCGGGCAAGCGGAAATCCACGCACCTGGCCGAGGCAGGGAGGCTCTGTCTACACACCCTGCCATGCACGGTTTCCCACAAGGTCGTTGACGACCCGAGGAGGGGGTGGAGGAGGAGAACGAGGAGGAGGAGGAGGACGGGGAGGGGGAGGAGGAGGAGGAGATTGAGGAGGAACAGGAGGAGGAGGAAGAAGAAGTAGGAGGAGGAGGAGGAGGAGGAAAGATGAGGAGGAGGAGGAGAAGGAGGAAGAGGAGGAGAGAACGAGGGAGAGGGAGGAGGAGAGAGAGGAGGAGAGGAGGAGGAGGAGGAGAAAGAGGATGGAGGCGGCGGAGGGAGAGGAGGGAGGAGGAGAGGAGAAGGCAGGAGGAGGAGAAGGAGGGACCAGCAGCAGGACAAAGACGGAGGAGGGCGGAGGGCGGAGAATGAGGAGGAGGAGGAGGAGAGGAGGGAAGAGGAGTAGGGGAGGAGGAGGATGTGGAGAGGAGGGCGAGGAGAAGAGGGGTGGGAGGAAGGAGGAGGAGGAGGGTAGGAGAAGGAGGAGAAGGAGGAGCAGAAGGAGGAGGAGAAACAGAAAGAGGAGGAGGAGGGAGAAGGAGGGAGGAGGAGATGGAGGAGGAGACGGATGAGGAGGAGGGGGAGGAGGAGGAGGAGGAGGAGGAGGAGGAGGAGGAGGAGGAGGACGAGGAGTATGATGAGGAGGTGGACGAGG